TCACTTATTTCATGAGGTATTTGAAAGTCTGAGGATTAGTTCTCTATCAAGAACTTAAGGAAAAATTGTTCCTAAGCCCCAAGTATTAATAAATAATTTGGATTCAATAGGGACATTTATAAAAATTTTTATCGTATTAATCCAGGTTTCTCTTGGGGCCTGTACAAATTCTAAACGCTGAATCTCACATTACAAAAAGCAGTCAGACATCATCTTTCAAAACTTTACAGCATCTCTCTATGGTTTCAAAGAGGTGGTTTTAAGGAACTAGTCAATGAAAATTCTATGAAAAGTAATCACAGAATACAGCTTATTACAGGGAAAAAAGGAATGCTGAAAAGCACAGGTGACATTAGAATTAACTATATCAAAAGATTATTTTTAAACGCAATTTGCAATTTTAAAGCATCATTCTACCATCAGTTAAAGGTGGTATCTCAAAATATTCTAAAATACATTTGATATTTGTAAAACTTAGTGCATAAATCAGCTCATGAGGCTATTAGTTAGAGCACACTGGGAGGATGATCAAAACTCAACCTCAGAAAAAGCACTGGAACTAAACTGATGTAGAAGTAAAAATATTAACTCATATATATGGGGTAATGGAAAATCAATATAAACAAAATACAGAAATAACATATATTTTAAAAATACAACCGATATCAGAACCAATAAAACACTGTTAAAAGAACAAACACACTTCAAATATTCTTGCAGAGGTGATAAAATCAATAAACTTTCATCTTCTAAAAACCCAGAAGGATTTCTCCTCCTGCCACCAAAGGATTCGGAAGGAAGAAATAATCCCTTCTACCAACACAAACAAAAACTTCCTTCTGTGGATTTTTAAACAGTCTAAAAGGTCAGTTAATTAGTGCTAATAAATAACTTCTTTCTTTTTCACTCACTCCAGGACTCTGAATCAAGCATTCAGCCAGATCTACCTCTGAGCCTGCTCCCAATCTACCCTGCATCACTATTTCCAGGCATCCTGTACTTAAATTCAAGCCAAACCTAACCACTACACTCAGGTCAATCCAGCAAACATTTACTAAAGATCCTAGTAGTGTCAGTGTCTATGCCAGGAAGTGTGTGGATAGGGGAGAATATAGCAATGAATCAGACTGATTAAGCAATGATCTCTGCCCTCTAGGAACTTCTCAGGAATCTCCATATGCAAAACCTTCCTTATTCCAAAACCCATCCCAAATTATCTTTTTTGGTATGTCTGATATACATAGCCTGAACTAATACATGAAACAGCTTTTGCTTCCTATGAAACAAAACTTGTATATAATCTTTTGCCACTAGTTTTTAATACACTGCAGGTAGGACAAAATTTTTCTATTTTTTCTATTTTGCTATTGAATTAAAAAACGTTTAAAGACTGAAGACTAATAAATTAAATAGCACTTGTAGGTGCCATAATTATAAATCAGTACTATCCTCTTGTCCTATTTTCTGCCTACAAACAGGAGAACGTAGGTAAAATGGGTTTTGAAGAGTTCAGCCAAACCCACATTTATAGGCTGGGGGAAGAAGAGAGTGAGTCCAAAATAAAAGCACGGAAGGGGAGTGGAATGGAGCAATTTAAGCAAATAGCAAATGCAGAGGAGAGAGATTTGTTAGAGGCAGTTCTCCAGCCTCTACCTTATTAGTCAGGACAGAATGATGGCATAAATAGGTGTCTTGATTAACTCTCAGCCTCCTTAACTATGAACAGCTGTTAACACAATGGTAAACACAACAATTTCTACCAACAAAAGGGAATACACTATAAATATTTATGGATGCCTGGGTGGCTTGGTCGGTTAAGCATCCCTCTTGATTTCAGCTCAGGTCATGACCCCAAGGTTATTGGATCAAGCCCCGCACTGGGCTCTGTACGAAGCATGGAGCCTGCTTGGGATTCATTCTCTCTTATCTCTCTCTCTCACTCTCCCTCCCTCCTTCTCCCCAACTCACGCTCTCCATCTCATTAAAATAAAAAAATAAAAAGGATGCTATCTTATAATTATGTTGTACCCTGAAGAAATGAAGACACTGATCTTTTTGTTTGATATTATCAAGAACACAGAACCCAAAACTAACTCTCTAGCATATATCCAACACTTACTTAAATGCTCATTTGAAACACGTGGAATCCCTTGAAGCACATCTCAAATCTATTGCCAGTTAATTCATATCCCCTCACAACCAAGTAACAAAGTCTGACATAACCCACTTAGCCTATCATTATTAGTTCTGTCCCCCAGAGTCAGTATTAAAGTGGTTCTCTATTTTACTATTTTATTGTCAAATTTAACATAAGATTTAAGAAGCATTAAAAAAGCAATGAAACTCCAATGAATATCAGAAAGAAACTTAAGTTTGAGTGCATAACTGCATTCATCATTTTTTGGTAACAACTGTTCCCAACAATTAAACCCTTGGGGTAGTAATGTGATCTTAAACATGAAATAATAGAACTGATTTCTAAATTCAGAATTTCAAGAGAATTTTCCCAACCTCAAATTCCTCAATGACAAGAGCACAGTATAGGTGTCTGTTACAGTCCACTGGAAGCACAATATCCTATTCAAAACAGAACAGGAAGTCCAGTCATATTTCTCTAAGGTCTCTTCTCTGGTGCTAACAATAGCCCTCTACACCAACTTCTACTCATCTGGGGTTTAAGCATCCAGATGACAGTAGTTCATTCTATATTATTTAGTTCCTAACAAATGTTTCCCTCAAATCCTAAAACCACTAAAAAGTTTATAACACAGTGCATTAAATTCTAAGAGAAAACTTAATTTAAAATTTTTTCATAATTTCCAAAAAGATACAAAACAATGTTTACTTACAACAGAAATTCCCATCTCTTCTACAGTTTACCTTTCCACACTGCTGAGAAACTATTCAAAAGCTGAAAGTAGATAACCAAAATACAGAAGACAGTGGGAGATTGCTAACCACTCTGAATGCATTATATTCTTTTTTTTTAATTTTTTTTTTAATGTTTTATTTATTTCTAGGAGAGAGAGAGAGACAGCGTGAACAGGGGAGGGTCAGAGAGAGAGGGAGTCACAGGCTGAAACAGGCTCCAGGCTCTGAGCTGGCAGTCAGCACACAGCCCGACGCGGGGCTCGAACCCACGAACCGCGAGATCATGACCTGAGCGAAAGTCGGACGCTTAACCGACTAAGCCACCCGGGCGCCCCTGAATGCATTATATTCTTAAATTACAATTAAAAAATTTTCAATCGCATTTTAATCATCTTCTCCTTAAAACTGTTCTACAGTATGATAAAAAGTGCTTTTTAAATCTAAGAGTTAAATCTAAATACTATTACTCTACTCTTCCTATGTGTACTTTTAAAAAATAATCTGTGTACATTTTTGCTTTCTCTGAAACGTGGATCATTTATGTAAAAATAAAAATATTTTCGAAGTATAAAAATAAAAAACTATACCCATCTACTTATTTGATAATGCCCTCCAATTACAAAATGTACAAAATCAAAGGGAAAAGGCCAAAAAGAGTCTGAGAATCTGACTAATGTAAAAGGTTAAATTTTACATAATTCACTTACTACATAATTTTCCCTAATGTAAGAACAATCAACGCTATCTAAGAAACGAACGTCGGAGGTATGGGGGGCAGGGGGGGCGGTGTGTTTACAGACTGGGCAAACACTTGGCCTGAATGCTGCAGGAGATTCCAAGGCTGGCTACGTGTTCAACTAGATGAACTCTAAAGCCTCTCTCAGTTCTAAGATTCCCAGCCTGTGAAAAATAACGTAAGAAAGCATTTCGCCCTTCAATTAACCGATCTACCTTCATTCCCAACCAAACTGCTCCTTTAAAGACAAAAAAGTTCTTTCCCCCTTTTCTCTGCAGTGGTTTCACGAGATCCTCGATAACAAAAGGCACGGAAAATGTGCACAGGTGAGATAAAAAGGGGAGGGGCTTGAGGCGAGGCAGCTCTCAGGACAGCGCCCCCACGCCCAGGTCCCTCCGCTGCACCTGAGAAATCACTGCCCTCCACACCTCCACCCTTCCGAAGCTGCGTCGCGAGCGAATTCTCCGATGTATTACAGTCCACCCGCACCTTGGCCAGTATTGGGCATTGTCTGCAGCCTTCAGTGCCCAAGAAAGACAAGGAGGAAAGAGAAAAGGGGGAGACGAGTGAGAATAAAGAACAGCGGAAGGGGAAGTAAAGCAATCGGGAAGCCCTACGCTCCTTTTGGCAAAATTGGCTTCCCCATCGACCCATCAATTTAATTCAGATCCCAAAAGCCAACCCCACCCCCCCCCACCCCAGCCCAAGGTAGCAGCTGGGAATGCACCAGCCGGAATCCCCGAAGCTACGCGCGGGTCCGGGGCACACAGACTGGGAGAAGGACATGGGCGTGTGGGCTGGGCCTGGCTGGCCGGAGGCCGGGCTCGGAACAAAGCAGCCAGGCTCCCCCTACCTGGGGCGAGGGCGGTGGGCGGCGCCTCGAGGCTCCCCGCGCAGTCCCGGCCCGGCGACGCCCTCGCCCCAGGGACCCTAGCCCAGGCTGGGGGCCGCAGTGGGCCCCCTCCCCGTCGGGGAACACCGCCCCTTTGGGACAATGGGCCCCCTCCCCCGCCTCCGGGCGGGGAGATACAAAGGGAGAGGAGCGCGGCCCGGCAGGGAGCCAGGCGTCGGAAAGTGAAGGCGAAGGAGCGACGGAGAAAGGGAAAGGATGGCGGCGGACGCGGGAACCCGCGGGCCGCTCCCCCGGCCGTCCAAGGCGCTGCCTTCAGCTCCGCCGCGGCGGCAGAGGCGGGAGCGCAGACCAGCAGCCCCTCAACCCCGGCGGAAAGGAACAGGGGTCTGCACACAAAGGAGAGGGACCCCCGCCCTCCGCTAGCGCCTGGGGCGGGAACAGTCCGAAGCGCTCTGGCCGCCGACGGTCAGCTGCGCCTGCCCAGCCCGCGCCCCTCGCGCGCTGTGGAGTCCGCGCTGGGAGCCCCTCTATCGGACTCACCCACAGCTCCGTGCCCCAGCTCATGGCGGAACTTGAGGCGACTCCGGCCGTCTGGCTGCTCTGCTGTCCGTCCGTCTGTCGGCTCTGTCCCTAGTGTGTCCGACCTCCCGCTGGCTGGCCGACGGGCTTGCGGCTCCACGACTGTGCCTCCGAAGGTGCCGCCACTGCCGGGCTCCCCTGTGAGTGAGAAAGACTAGACAGGAGAAGCCGCCGCCGCCGACGCCGCGTCCCCGCCTCCCGGAGCTGGCAGGGAGGGGGCCCGGGCCGAGGGGAGGCGGGACGCGGAGATGGGAGGGGGCGGGGCGCGATGCACCCTGGGATCGCGGCGGACCCGCGCTTGCTTGGCCTCAGCCGGCGGAGTCCCTCGCCAGAGGGTCTCCCAACCCGTTTGGCTCTCGCGCTAGGTCTCTTCCTGCCTGCCGCTTGGGGTTCGCACAGTCCCGCCGCCGCCGCCACTCTCATCTCTGTCTCCAAGATGGAAAGGGAGAGAAGGGAAAGGCGTCCACCTCCCTTCTCTCCCCTGAGACCCTTTTAGATGAGGCAACTCCAGTCACCCTCCCTTCCTTCCTCTCGCTTCCTCCAGACCTGGGAGAAATCCTGACATAGAAACCTCTTAAAAATCCTTGGGTTTACATAGTCGGAGATTTGTGTTTTACTTATTTTTTTTAAATCTTGATTGGTAAAGGTGATCTTGGGAATCATCGAAATGTGTAGAGGTTGAACGTCAAATGTGAATGCAACGTGCCCCGATTTTGTTTTTAATAAAACATTTTAATTTTATAACTTCTGCCAGGAAATCATAAGAGGCAGATCTTTCAGCATTCATTTTCTTGCCATAACAAGAGATGAAAGACATGGACCAATATGAGCTGCGTTATCACTTGCAGGAACCGAGCTAGACCCAGCTGGGGAAAGGGCGCCTCGTCCCTGGGGTTGGGCGGGAACCAGATTCCTCCCCGGTAGACCAGAGAGCGTATTGGAAGTTCAGATACCTCTCACTCAGAACATGGGAATCTTGGAGGCAGATCCACCATTTCCTTTTTCCTCTGGGGATTACTTCCCGGCCTTTGTGAGCAATCATTAACTGCAGTCATCCAGCTTGGCGGGTACCATTAGATACCAAATACACTTAGCAACTACTAACATATGCTTTCGCATTAATTGTCTCCTAAACACATACACACACTTCAATCCAGTCACTAGTACAGTGCTCCTCGATGTCTTGACAGCTGAGTGTCTGTAAATTCTCCAAACCGGAGTGTCGGCATTTGAAACTCCTCCCCTTAAAGTGCCTGCTCAGGTGCCCCAGTCTGTTCCGCTTCAATCCTAGTCCCTGCCTAGCTGTGTGATCCCTCTTGGACTTAAGGCAAGTAATTGTGCCTTAATTGTGCCTTCCTGCCAGGCCATCATTCTTGCTGAATCCTTGCCTCCCTTCTCTGAATCCAGCTTTAAGCATATAAATAATCTCTTCCAATGGCCAAATGTTAAATGCTTAAGTATGCCATGCAGTGAAAAGTCTGTGAGGCACTGACTGAACGTTTTATCTTTCCAATATTTTTCTATACTGCCTGTATTTCAAATAGAATTTTCATTGTTAATGGTATCACCTAATGCTGCTATCCATTTCCCCTCTCCCTATTACTCCCTAGACATCATGAATGCATTTAGCAATCCCAAGTAAGATTTATTAGTAGTGGAAAATATATTAAATGGTTGTCTCATTATTCAGAACCATTCCAATACTAAGCTTTACTGTATCTAGGTATTCTCATGAAAGTTAAGACACATGGAGCATAATTTAAGCCAAAATTGTATGCTTTCCCTTTAAAAAATAAAATAAATAATCTACCATTCACATTGAAGATCATCCTTAACCATACTGTTTACACAAGTCCCCAAATGAACATAAAGTCTTATCTCCTACCTGACCATTTTTCTTCTCCCAAAGTTTCTGAACAGAACGGCACACTTAGAGCAATTCATTTCTTTTCAGAAAGTTAGATTTTTGGCCAAAAATTCCCAGAAAATTTCCACTATCCTACATTAGTATAAAATTAAAACATAATTCAAAAAACCAACTTAAATTGATAATCTCTTTTAAGTAACTATAACTTACAAAATTTTATCATGACTTTAGAATTCATTATTTACTTCAACAGTCTTTAAGCAAAAATAATTAAAAAGTGAAAATATCACAACAAAAGAATATTTTGTGTTATATTTTATTATATAACTAATAAAAAGTCATCAGCTTCCCAAGTATTCCTTTTATTAATGAATCTCTAAAATAGTATAGGCACATTTAATTTTTTTTGACTTTTTTTTTAATGTTTTATTTATTCCTGAGAGAGAGAGAGAGAGAGAGAGACAGCATGAGCAGGGGAGGGTCAGAGAGAGAGGGAGATACAGAATCTGAAGCAGGCTCCGGGCTCTGAGCTAGCTGTCAGCACAGAGCCCAATGCGGGGCTGGAACCCACCAACCGTGATATCATGACCTGAGCCAAAGTCGGATGTTTAACCAACTGAGCCACTCAGGCGCCCCAATATAGGCACATTTTCGCTAACAAATATCCAGAGGTGTTTTATACACACATGCATAGTCACACACAAATATATATTATTGGCATGGCAGTTTATAAAAATGTTGACTTGGGGCATGATCTACTGGGTGTTTATTCATATATATAAGATTTATTCTTATGGACCCATAACAAGGCATTTTGTGAGCAGTTCAAAAACATCATTAAAAAAGATAAAACATAACTTTTAGCATCTTGAAAGCAAAATCTTTTTAGTATAATAGCGGTCTACTATTATTTTACTTCGGATGCTACCCCCAAATCATATTTTGCATCAGTTTTTTTTTAATGTTTTTTTATTTATTTTTGAGAGAGAGATAGAGACAGCACGAGCAGGGGAGGGTCAGAGAGAGAGGGAGACACAGAATCCGAACACAGGCTCCAGGCTCTGAGCCTGTCAGCATAGAGCCCGACGAGGGGCTCCAATCCACAAGGCGTGAGATCGTGACCTAAGCCGAAGTTGGATGCTTAACCGACTGAGCCACCCAGGTGGCCCCCATATTTTGCATCCTTAAGGGATAAAAAATTTTGTCAAGCCAATTATCTTAGACCTTTTTGCTACTTGACCTATTTTGGTAACCCATTACCACAGAGCTTCTGTTTCATAATATTTTATAATGTAATCAGCAGTAAGAAGGAATTGAGAAAATAATATTCTAGCTTTCTCCACATATTTTTGCAATGAAACCACTCTACTGAGTAAACTTGAAAGAGCTCAAATTACACAGGCTCATTAACAATTTTAAAAATTATTACAGGGGTGCCTGGGTGGCTCAGTTGGTTAGATGGCCGACTTCCACTCAGGTCATGATCTCAAGGTTTGTGAGTTTGGGGCCCGTGTCGGGCTCTGTGCAGACAGCTCCGAGCCTGGAGCCTGCTTCAGATTCTGTGTCTCCTCTGCCTGCCCTTCTCCTGCTCACGCTCTGTCTCTCCATCTCTCAAAAATAAATAAACATTTAAAAAATTTTAATTATTACACTGTATCTTTTTATTAACTATGAAAAATAATTTTTATTGAATTAATTTTCTCTTCAAGCATATGTTTGAACTCTGCTCTAAGATAAGCCATTGAAGTGTTACATTTTGTGTATTTTTATCTTGTAGTAATTCAAATGTAAGTTCTTTTTACAGTTTCTTGGTTATAAACATTTAACCAATGCCCTTTCCAGTTTCAAAATTTCCCTGCATGAATTCCCTAATTAAATCAGATTGTGAATGATAATTGTTCACTGCTGTATTCTGGAATATAGAGTAATTTACTAGTCCAAATGCATCAACAACCTCCAACCATACATCAATCTCTTGTCTTAAAATTAAATTTTTGCAAAAGTTATTCTAAGGGATGCCTGAGTGGCTCAGTCGGTTAAGCATCTGACTTTGGCTCAGGTCATGATCTCACAGCTATGAGTTCAAGCCCCACGTCAGGTTCTGTGCTGACGGCTTGGAGCCTGGAGCCTGCTTCAGATTCTATGTTTATCTCTCTCTCTCTCTCTCCCTCTTTCCCTTTCTCTCTTTCTCTCTCTCTGCCCCTCCCCCGCTGGTTCTCACTCTCTCTCTCTCCCAGAAATAACAAATGAATAAATTTCATTTTTTAAAAAATTTATTCCATATATAAAATTAGTAATGTCTCTAGCACTTCATTGGAAAGTGTTTTCAAAGAAAAAATAAAACTTTATATCAACACTTGGAATACAGAAAGCTTTTCTTAGCATATATGTACCAATGTCCCAATGATAAAATGTTACTAATCATATAGAATTTCCACTATTGAAAGGAAATCTCTAGCGTAAACAATAGCAACTCCCTTTTTGTTATTTAAATAACTTAAGATTTATGTCTTAAAACTATAGCAACAAGTGTCCACAAATAGAATCATTATCTACATAGGTAGGCCAGAACAATCACGCTTAAACTATTTTAGTTAGAATACCAAGACACTGTACTTCGCACCTCCGTCTTAATGCTTCAAATGGAACACCACACCAGAAACTGGATCATACCAGAATACAGATCTATGCCAGCTGAAGGAAGAATGGCACTGACTAGTTAATAGTCATCACTGCTTTCTGAACTGCCAGTTTTCCTAACCAAGGGTTGGAAGAATTTCAAAACTTCACGAGAATAGTTTAAAGTGGCTCACTGAAGAAAAAGAAAAGAATACCACCTACTATTTTGTCTTTGAGGATTCTGTTCTCCATTACTGAATCTAGTTAAAGCATTTCATATAATTGCTCTAATGAAATTTAGCAAAAAGAAAAAAGTAAAAAAAAAAATTTTGTGTAAATCAAATGGAACAGATTTATTTAAAGAAGTAACTCATTTCCACTTCTCTATGATGATTGATTCTTTCCCACTAGCTATTACAGAACTGAATGGCTTTAAAAGCAATTACGTATTTATTTAAATTCTCTTTAGAGTCAAGAGCCTTGGTATAACAAAAGTTACAAATTTCTTCAGGTGATTATTGCACCTTTCCAAACCCATTCAAAATTTCCATTAACTCAACTCTTAAAGCATTCACTTGTTTTTGTTTGGGGAGTGGGAGGGTTGCCTGTGTTGACAAATTTAAAAATACACACATCAGTAGGGCATATGGGTGGCTCAGTCAGTTAAGTGTCCAACTTCGG